AAAGTGGGGATGGCATTTGCCTTGCATGCGACACCCAGAGTCTATTGCCGCATCCCATATGGTTCCCCCAGCACCACCAGGAGTAAATTTCTTTTCTTTTCTTTACTTTTTTTTTTTTCTGAATCTGCACTCAGAAATTACTCCCTGTGGTGCTTGGGGAATCATATGGGATGCTGGGGATCGAACCCGGGGCTTGGTCACTTGCAAGGCTAACGCCCTACTTGCTCTGGCCCCTCCAGGAGTAATTTCTGAGCGCAGATCCAGGAGTAACCCCTGAACATCACTGGGTGTGACTCCAAACCAAAAAATAAATTAGTTAAATTAAAATAGGAATTGAGGGGCTGCAGAGATACTATGGGCACAAGACATTTACTTGCATGTGATTGACTGGGTTTGATCCTGGCACCCATATGGTCCCCTGAGCATCTCCAGGAGCTTACTCTGAGCTCAGAGTAAGCCCTGGAGCACCGCCAGGTATGGCTCCAAACCAAGAAATAAAGGGGGAGTTGAACTATAGCAACCTGGTCCGTTGCACTTTGTCATGAGTAAAGCCTGACATTAAAGTGAGAATTGTAGTAATTCTCTGTCAAGGGTGGCTGTCATGAGGAAATGGTGATGATTTAAGGATTTAGGTCTGGCAGGATCAGGGCACAATAAACAGCACTACGGTTGGTCCTGGTGACAGATCTGTGGCGGGGCAGACTCAGTGTTTAGGAAGTTTTTGTAGAGCTGGAGCAGCATTGAGAAGCACCTTTGGCTCCAGCTGTTCTAGTTCATGAACCTGAGTCTTTCCTTTGTCTTCAGCCTGTGATACCCACAGGAGTCAGTGGTGTGTCCCTGCCCTAGCCAAGCTCCTTCCTTCTCGTTTCTGGTTGTCAGTATCACCCAGGATGGCTAAATCCCATCTAATTGACTAGTCCCTGCCAGGGCCTATCTGATTTGTCACCTCCTCCCACAGTATGGTGTGACAGAGGGACTGAAAACCTAGGAAAATGACCTTATGTCCAGAGAATAGTAAAAAACTATCTCTCTGGTAGTGTCTTCTGATTAACAGGACCTTGTTATAGGTTTATTTATTTACTTATGCTAATTGAATCACCATGAGATACGGTTATAGAACTTTCATGTTTGAGTTTCAGTCATACAATGATCAAACACCCATCCCTCCACCAGTGCATATTCTCCACCACCAATGTCCCCAGTATACCCCCCTTTCCAACCCTCCCCCATAGATTTGTTAATAAAACCACCTTCCTCTGTTGCTTTCTCCTTCCCTCCTTTCTCTCTCTCACTCTCTCTTTTGCTTTTTGGTTTTTGGGTCACATCTGGCAGTGCTCAAGGGTTACTCCTGGCTCTACACTCAGGAATTACTACTGGCCATGTTCAGAGGACCATATGGGATGCCAGGAATTGAATCCCATTTGACCTCATGCAAGGCAAGCGACTTACCCATTGTACTATCACTGAGGCCCTCTCTTTCTCTCTCTCTCTCTCTCTCCTCTCTTTCTCCTCCCTTCTTTCTTTCTTTTCTTTTCTTTCTCTCCTTCCCTTCCATCATTTCTTTCTTCCTTCCTTTTCTCTCCCTTCCTTTCTACCTTCTCTCTCTCTTTTTCTCTCTTCCCTTCTCAATCTCCCTCTCTTTTTTTTCTTATAAATTTCTATCTAACCAGATTTCCCAGTTCAGTTCTTATGTAACCATTTTTTGGAACCTCATCACAGGATTTAGCACTCTTCCCTGGTGAATTTTGTCTTGTTGGTTTCAACCCAACTTTACAATCTGTTAAGGCTGCCGGGAATCTGCTTCTGTCACCCGTTGTAGGGTGTTCCCTGCCAGTAGCTGTCATCTGTGTGTGAAAAGCAGTTTCCTCTGCCTCCATTCAAGGGACCATAACCTTACCAGGCTTCTGATGGCCAGGATGGAGCTTTGAGACACTCCCCCATGCCCACAGAGATCTTCAGCTTTTTATCCAAATTGGTAGGGCAGGTTTCAATCTGCCCTATCATTCAACACACTTTTGTCTGTCAACACACAAATGCTAACTAAGTGCGTTGCTGTATCAAGATAAATAAAGACTGATATATCCCTACAGACAATATGAGGGGCCGGAGAGTTAATACAACAGGTTGGGCTTTTGCCTTGAATGGGGCTAACCCCAGTTTGATCCCAAGCGCCACATATGGTCCCCTGAGCACAACAAGAAATGATCCCTGAGCACTGCCAGTGCAGCTCCCAAATAAAAACACTGCACTGTACTGCACTGTCCTCTCATTGTTCATTAGTTTTCTTGAGCAGGCACCAGTAACGTCTCACAACAAATTGTGAGACTTGTTGTTACTGTTTTTGGCATATCAAATACATCACAGGTAGCTTGCATGGCAAATAAAAACAAAGCAACAAAAATTGATGATTTGTCTGACATAACCCACCTGCAATGGTAGAGGAGAGGGGAGGAATTTGGCTGGTATTCTAGGATTACAGTTTAATATTTTTCTAAATGTTCCCAATCACCACACAAGGAACCTGTTCTGGAACTTGCCATGCATGGATATCAAATGGTTCTGTTCTTAGTTTACCTTTTGATTCTTTGAGCAAAGGCAGTCACCAGCAGCAGAGTGGGGTCCAAGTATTATTGTCTCTGCCAACTTTCAGTGTTAAGCTCAAAGCCTTCCCTGTGGCCAGAGCTGCGGCCTGGCCTCCCCACAGCCCCAGGCCCCCTCCTATGCCTGCCTCAGCCACCTGGACCTCTTGCATCTACTGAAATATATCACATCCCTCGCTGGCCCAGGGCCTTTTACCCACTACTTTCCTGTCTGCAGCACTTTCTTCTTGGACTGTTCATCTGCCTCTGTTACCTCAGCTTAGGGGAGAGGCCTTCCCTGACGACCCCACCTAGACACCAGCCCTCGCTCGGTACCCTCGGAGTCTGTCATGCCATCACTATCTCTGTCATCTCATCACTATCTCCTTCCCTTAGAAATTACTCCTGGCTCTGCACTCAGGGGTCTTCTGGCAGTGCTCAGGGAACCATATGTGGTACCAAGGATGACCCAGGCTGGCTGGCCACATGCAAAATGAGTGCCCAACCCATTGTTTTATTACTCTGGCCCCTGATGATATATATTTTTTAATAATTTGTGTGTGTGTGTGTGTGTGTGTGTGTGTGTGTGTGGTATGTGGCCACATTCTGCTCTGTTCAGGGGCCACTCCTGTTTGGGAGTCATTCCAGGCAGTGTTTAGGGGTTGATTAGGGTTTGAATTCAAGTCTCCCACATACTTTGGTCCTGACTGTATATTTCTCCTCTTCCTCCTCCTCTTTCTCCTCCTCCTCCTCCTCCTCATCTCCTCCTCCTCCTCCTCATCTCCTCTTCCTCATCTCCTCCTTCTCATCTCCTCCTCCTCCTCATCTCCTCCTCCTCCTCATCTCCTCCTCCTCCTCCTCCTCCTTCTCCTCTACCTCCTCCTCCTCCTCCTTCTCCTCTATCTCCTCCTTCTCCTCCTCCTCCTTCTCCCCTCCTCCTCTTCCTCTTATTCTTCTTTTTTGTAACCTCTGATCATTGTCAGGTCAGACCTAGTGATGCTCAGAGGTTACTCCTGGCTCTGCACTCAGGAATTACTCTTGGCAGTGCTCAGGGGACCATATGGGATGCGGATTGAACCCGGGTTGACTGCATACAAGGAGAACATCCTACTTGCTGTACTCTCGCTCCGGCCCCCTGACTGCATATTTCTTCCTTCTTTTGCTCCTGGTTGAATGTTAAGTGCCTGGGTTTTGTTCGAGGTGCCATCCCAGCACTGGATAGGATTGTTGAAGAGGATTTGACTTCCTTCTTGTCCTTGTGGATGATGGCTAAGATCAGCGCCAGAGATGCTCAGAGCAGCAGCTCTTTACAGCTCACATGAAGTACAACTGAGGCAGCGGCCATAGCAATCACACCACATACCTTTTTTTCCAGAGGACCCAGGAGGTAGACAAAAACAGGCCAAAAAAAAAAAAAAACCACACACACAACCTAGAAGCCCAAAGATCTGCTCTCATACAGATGGTGCTCCCCGCCTTGTTTTCTGATTGGTTGCTCCTTTATGTAAATAAGGGTGCGTTGAGCTGACCAAACAAGTCACAAATGCCCTATGCAAATAAGAGCATGTGACCAACCAATAGACTAGCAGATGTAAATGAGGCACAATGGGAGGTCTTGATTCTCTGGGCCCTCCTTCCTTCCTTTCTGTGTGACAGATCCAGGCACTGGGGAGGTACTCCAGGAATATAAATACATGAATCAACAAATCTCTCAAGACTTCAGGTGGGCCCCCTACCTCTCTCCCATCTCAGCTATGGGAGACTTTTTCCACTCCTAGCCCTGATGAGAGCTCCCTGCTCAGCTCCCTGCTCTGCTCCCTGCTTTCCAGATAGAAGATTCCTCTTGGTGGAGCAGAAGGACTGGCAGCGGGGAGCCAGGCAGCAGTGCCCGCTAACTCCCTTCTGCCTGCTGCCACACACGCCTTGGGAGGCTGAGGGCTCAGCCAGACTCCCTCTGGTCCTCTTCAAACACAGGAGGCCTCTGGTTCATTTATCAAGTTATTTATGGGGATCTCAGGTTATCCTGAAGTTCACCCTCCAATAATCATGGGGAAAAAAATACTGTTCAAAGCTGCCCCCAGGCATCCAGGATGCTTTCTCTGATGTTCCCAAACCCCTTCTCACCCTTCTATCCTCAGACCCCCCAACCTCCTTCCATCTCACCTGGAGATCTCACTCTTTATTGCTTATTGCACCCCTACCCACTCCCACGGGTCCCTTCAACTTGTGCAGGAAAGCCCCTGGTTCATGGTTTACCTCATCCTTACTACCTCCACCCCGCCCCCTCTCTTCCTCTGACCGAAAAAGGAAGCTGTGAACTGGAGGTGGGGATCAGCCTCTTTATTAGACAGCAGGACGACAGGGGCAACCCAGACCTATTGTAGGGCAGGCAACCAGGAGGTATATGTAGAACACTCTGGAGGCGAGCAGAGTTATTGGGGGGCACTCATTGGAGAAGCAGGAACAGAACACCCTTCCTGGGTGTCGTGTCACACCCTTACTCCTCGTCGTCATCATCTTCTTCCAGGGGTGGCCGGTTACGCTTGAAGAAACCGAGCTGGGGGTGCCCAGGGCCAAGGTCTCAGTGTACTCCTTTGGCTCCAGAGCAGCCAGGGAGGAAGCTGACTAGAAAGCAGCCAGCCTGGGCCTCCCCCACGGAGGAGGGACCCCACTGCATGTATAATAAATTGTCGTGACTTTCACTTTTCTTAACTGAGTTTATGTCTCCACAGGGCCCAAGGGCATGAGGATGGGTTTGATGCTGACTTGGCGTGGACTTCCCCAGAGCTGGGCGCGTAACCAAGCCCAGAGGAGGAACCCAGCAAGGCCTCAGAAGGAACAAGCCTATGGAGCAGGCTGGATCCCAAGCCTCAGAGGGAAGAACAGAGCCTGGAGAAGGGCAAACCCCAAGGAGGCCTCGTTGCCTCGGACCCTCCCTCTCAGAGGGAAAATGCCCAAAGGGCTGGGAATTGCCAACATCCCCTGGGTGTTGGATGTCCAGAAAAGGATCTCTGGAGTGTGACTTTATTTGGGCAGGGGGAGGTGCGTACCCAGTGGTGCTCAGGGCTTACTCCTGGCTCTCCACTCAGGGACCACTCCTGGTGAATCATATGGGGTACTGGAAATCGAACCCGGTTGGCCACTTGCAAGGCAAATGCCCTACATGCTGTACTATTGCTCTGGTCCGGGAAGGATTATTCTAATAAGGGATCATGGAGCCCTGGGTCACAGGGGATACAGTTCCTCTCTGGCCCTGGTGCTGCTTACACAGGGACCCCGTGAGTCTTTGTGCCTCACCTTCCACATGGCGAGGATGAGGAGCGTGAGGAGCAGCAGACCGCCCAGCCCGCCGACCAGCACCCACCAGATGGGGATGTCCCTCTCCTCCAGAACCCGCAGCAGCTGTGTCTCGACCTGAGAGCAAACCCACAGCCTCCTAGGTCATGGGGACCTCCATTGAGCCCCTTGCTGCCCCACCCCACAGACCCTTGTAGGCCCTGCCGCTGCCACCCCACAGGGCAGGCATGTGGGGGAGACCATCTGCCTGGCCACCATTGCTACCTACTCACCCGAGCATGCCCACTGGGCAGGCTGAGAGCCGGCACTGAGTAGGGCAGGGAGGACACGTTGAACCAAGCACGCGACTGCAGCACAAACTGATCTAGGGGCTTCTGGAGAGGGTGGGGGTGAGAGTCATGCAGGTCAGGCCTGCAGGAAGCCTAAGAGCCCCCAGCCAAGGACCCCCTCCTCGAAGACTCCTGGCCTTCCCCAGGCTCTTCTTCTTGTTGTTACTTGGGTCACACCCAGCGATACTCAGGGCTTATTCCTGGCTCCGAACTCAGTAATTACTCCTGGCGGTACTCAAAGGTTCATATGGGATGCCGCGGGTAGAACCCAGTGATGGGTGATTGCAACCCGCTTACAAGACCAGAGCCCCACCTCTGTACTCTCCGGCCCCGCCCCCAACCAGCGAAGACCACGCCCACTTCATGTTAGGCCACGCCCAGTCGTAGTCCACGCCCCCATCCCCCGCCGCACCTGCCGGAAACTGGGTAGCCACAGCAAGGCCAGCACCGTGACCATGGCTCGCTGCCCTCGTGCCATCTCCTGCAGCTCACATTGCACCACCGTACAGGGCGCCACCGAGTCGCAGCTCTGCGGGGATACGTCAGGAGTCCCGACCCCTCGGACTCCCCGACCCATTCACCCCAACGGCCAGCCTCACGGAGCTCTGGTCTCCCCTGGGGAAGGGCCTCAGGCGCACAAGGACAGCCAGGGCCCGGGGAACGCGTCATCTTCAATACCAGAATTGGAATTCAATTCTGGAATTCAATACCCAGAATTTCTGTGACCCCGCTTCGGCATTTACTTACTCTTTTTTTTCTTTTTGAGTCACACTCAGGAATTACCCCTGGAATTACCCCTGGCGGTGCTCAGGGGACCATATGGGATGCTGGGAATCAAACCCAGGTCGGCCGCGTGCAAGACAAACGCCCTACCCGCTGTACTATTGCTCCAGCCCCACTCACTTTCTTTAATGGAACCCGGAATGCAGGTGGGGGCCGGGGAGGTGGCTCAGTGGCAGCACAAGAAGACAAACCGGGCTCCAGCCCCAGGCACGGTACCCGCGGCAGCCCAGAACCAGCGCAAGCTCTCAGAGGCATCTGGAGTAACTCAGGGGCCCCCTAGTGTCCCATATCAGACCGCAGCAAGCAGCCAGCCCCTGCCAGGCCCCAGCCCCGGCCCCTGGGAGGCTGGCAGCGCCCGCTCACCACCAGCACAGGGTCCTGAAGCCTCGAAGGCTGCTTGGCCTGAAGCAAGCTCCTGCGGTCCCGCTTGTGATGGGCCGAGGGCACGGGGGAAGGGCTGGGGGTGGGCAGCCTCCAGTCGAGCTGCAGAGGAAAGAAGCAAACCTCAGGTCCTCCCAGCGCCACGCCCTGCCCATCTCCCCAACCCCAGGGGGCCTTACTCAGGGTCTCAGAGCCACTCTCCCTGCTCCTCCTGGAACTTACCTTCAGGGGATTGGGAGAAGGCTGTGGGGAGCACTGCAGCCCCCCGTGCGGCTGTACGTTGAGGATGTAGAGCAGGTCGGAGGGCCCTGACTGGCCGGGGAGCTGGAGTTCTAAGTGGAGGCCACTTACAGACCCAGGGCCATTGTTATACAGCTGGGGGAGGAGGAGGGCAGGGTGTTAGGGGGCACCCTGGCCACAGCTCCTGTGCTTCTCGCACCCAGCCTGGGCCTAGAGGCCGCGCCCCACCTCGTAAGTGTGCTCCACTTTGGGGCCCCAGCTGTCAGAGCTGTTGTCGCTGCTGCTGCCTTCTTCCGCGGCCACCACCAGCGAGGCTGGGAAGGAGTTTCTGTAGGGACTCCTCCAGGGTGAGCGTGCTGCCCTGGCTTGCCGGTGGGGGGGTGGGGCACGGGCTTCCCCAGGACTCCAGATACCCCTCTCCTCTCACCCTCGCAGCTCCAAGCGGGCGCCTGCCCGGACGGGCACCTCCAGCAGCTCCACAGCGCTGTTGGGGTTCTGGCTGTTCTTGCTGCAGGGGTGGGAGGTGGAGGGGGAGAAGCAGGCAGGGGAGGTCGGTCCAGTGAGCCTCGGGACTTTCTGGGGTGGGGGTCCTGATTTCAGGGGCACACCTCACACCTCCCCAGTCTGAGGAGGCTTGCCGGGGTGGGGTTGCAACAGAGGGACTGTTTCCCGACCAGTAAGTACCTCCTGATCTGCAGCCGGAAGGACACGTGCTCCCCGGCCTCTTCCAGGTGACCCACACTCACCAGCATCATGATGCCTACCTGAGGGATGGGGAGGCCGTGTCACCTCCCCAAGCCCGAGCTGCTGCCCGGCTCTGTACCAGGCCTCGGGGCCTCTCCCGCCCTGGCCCCCAGTGTGGGGCTGCTTCACCCCAACACCTCACCTGGGCATTTTTCCTCATGGGGTTGCCCAGCTCACACAGCACAACCTTGGTCTCATTCTCCTTCTTCTGGTTACAGATGAGCCTCTCGAGGCCCTTTGAGGAGGCAATGTGAGAGAGACAGTGACAAAGTGACAGCCCCCCCCCAGACCCCCCAATCGCCCTCTATGTGCCTAAAGCCTCTTGGACAGTCAGAAAAAAAGTTATGCAGGGTGGAAAAGGCATTCCTCGGGCTGAGCATGTTGCACTTTATGTGTCACCATGTCGTTTTATTGTTACTGCTGTATTTATTTTTTTCCTATTTTCTGGACCACACCTGGCTGTGCTCAAGGCTTACTTCTGGGTCTGTGCTCCAGAATCACTCCTGGTGGGACTTAGGGACCATATGGAGTGTTGGGGGTTGAACCAGGGTCAGTTGCATGCAAGGCAAGCTCCCATGCCGCTGTACTAGCTCTTTAGCCTAAATTACCATCACTATTTTATAGGGGCCACTCCTGGTGGTACTCAGAGGTCCCCTGAGGACCACAGCCTGCAGTGCTGGAGCTAGGGATGGAAGTCAGGCCCTCGCCCGTACAAGGCATGTACTGTTTCACTGAGCCACTTTCCCTGCCCCCTTATTACTAGTCATTACTTCAGTCTTTTTGCTTTCCATTTTGGGGCTACCTCAGTGATACTGGTGCCTGCTCCCTGCTCTAACTTCTGGCATTGCTCTAGGGACCATGAGGTACCAGGATTGAGCGCAGGTTGCTAGCATGCAAAGTGTGCACTCAGCCCATTGAACTATCTTTCTAGACTCATTATTATTTTTAATGTTTTTTTTTTTGCTTTTTGGGTCACACCTGGCGATGCACAGGGGTTACTCCTGGCTCTGCACTCAGGAGTTACTCCTGGAGGTGCTCAGGGGACCATATGGATGCTGGGAATCGAATCCGGGGTCGGCCGCGTGCAAGGCAAATGCCCTACCAGCTGTGCTATCTCTCCAGCCCCCATTAATTTTAAAAAAAAAAAAAACCATAAACATTATATGAGGTATGATCCCATTGATAAACATGGCATCAACAAGAGTAACTTCTAGGAGGGCCTGGAATGATAGTACAGTGGGTAAGGTGCTTGCCTTGTATGCAACCAAGCCGAGTTTGATCCCCAACATTGCATATGGTCCTCCAAACACTGTCAGGAGTGATCTGAGATCAGAGCCAGAAGTGAGTCCTGAGCACTGCTAGATGTGGCCCCAAAACCAAGGTGGGAAAGGGAAAACAGCTGGAGAGATAGTACAGTGGGTAGGGTTCTTGCCTTGCAATGTGGCTGACCTCAGTTCAATCCCTGGCATCACATATAGTCCCCAGCAAAGCCAGGAGTGATCCCTGAACACCACTGGGTGTAGCCCCCAAAGCACATAAAAAAGAATTATAGAAGCTGGAGCAGTAACAGTGAGGGGGCTACTTGACCATGGCCAGTGGGTTCATCCACATAGTCCACATAGTCCTCTAAACTCTCCACCCCAGGGCTGGAGCAATAGCACAGCAGGTAGGGTGTTTGCTTTGCATGCAGCCAACCCAGTTTGATTCCCAGCATCCCATATGGTCCCCTGTGCAACACCAGGAGTAATTCCTGAGTGCATGAGCCAGGAGTAACCCCTGTGCATCGCCAGGTGTGACCCAAAAAGAAAAATAAATAAACATTTAAAAAATTTAAAAAAATACACCAAGGGGCCAAAGTGATAGTACAGTGAGTAGGGGGTTTGCCTTGCATGCAGCCGACCCGGGTTCAATCCCTGGCATCCCATATGGTCCCCCAAGCACCTCCAGGAGTAATTCCTGAGTGCAGAGCCAGGAGTAACCCTTGAGCATCGCTGGGTGTGACCCCCAAAAGAAAAAAACACACACACCAAAATGGAAATCCCAATGTTTATAGCCATGCATAAGGGAAGGGGGAACTCTTGGGGTGAGCTGAGGATCAAGGCGCTGGCACCTCCGGGGAACCTACCTCCATATTGCTGAGGGCCCGCATGTAGTGGGCACCCGGGGGCAGGTGCATGGCCAGTTCTGCCTCGTAGGCCCCCTCGCCCTCGTTGGCTGCCTGCACCTGCAGCTCCAGCACGTTGTCAGCCCCGATCAGGAGCGGGGAGCCTGTTGCCCTGGGGTAGGGGGGGAAGGAAAGGGTAAGGCTAGGGGCTGGGCAGAGGGGAGCAGCTCTGGGCAGAGGCTGAGCAGATAGGGCCTCACACGTTGGCCGTGACCTCAAGCTGGGGCACACAGACGTCATCGTCGCCGCAGTCCAGGATGATCCGGGTCTAGAGAAGACAAGGCAGGAGGAATGGGTGAGCCGGGGTGCGGGGTCACCTCAGGGCCTGGAGGACAGGAGGTCTGAACAACAGGAAGTTGGGAGACACTACCATGGCTTGGGGGCTGGCCCCAGGATTCGGGACAGAGTTGGGGTTTCAGTGTTGACAGTCAGAGATCATGGGTTAATAGAGTTTAGTGGCGATGTCAGCTCTGGAATTTATGGGAGTGCTTGAGGGATATGACGATTTGGGGGTTCCTTTTGGGTTTAGGATGACACTGTGGATGATATCCAGAGGACATCCAGGCTTTGGTGTTCAGGTTATGACTAGGATCCAAACCCTGACCCTGGATTCTTGCAGGGGTCCAGGCCTGTCCCCACCTGCTCCTGGACATGGGTGTCCCCATGTAGCACCAGCGCGGGGGCCTGTCCATCCTTCTCAGGGTGCAGGGACACATTGAAGCTCAGCACGATGGGGCTCAGCTTGTCCCGGAAGTCGGCCTCATCCTGGGATGGGGACAAGAACCAAGTCGAGTGGCTGCCCCACTCCTGACCACCCCTGATCACCCCAGGACGTCAGGAACAAATGGTGCACCGCCAGCCCTGCCCAGCGACAGCCAGACGTACCCGGAGGAAGGCAGTGACAGAGTGGCACACACGGCTGTTCATCCTGCCCAGGTTCAGGACCAGCGTGGTGCCTGCCTGCTGTGAGCTGAGCAGCAGCACGCGGCGGCCCTGGCGGGGTTTCTGCCGGTCCAGCTGCAGTTCAGCTTTGAGGCCTGACCAGGCAAGCAGGCGGGAGGGAGCTCAGGCTCCCCCGCTGGCCCCCAGGGAGCCCAGGCCCTGCCCCTCTGGGCCTCATCCCAGCCACTTACGCAGCTGGGGAGGCATGTTGTGCCCGCTGATGCCCACACACATCTGCACGTTGAAGCTGCAAAGAGGTAAGGGCGCTCAGAGCCAGGCCCTAGCCCCCACCCTGGCCTCCCGTGCAGTCTGGCCTTGCCGTCCACATCCTCACCAGCTCACTGGGGTGTTGGTCTGGCTCAAGACGCAGTTCTTGACAGTGGGGTTCAGTGAGTCTTGTACCAGCAGCTGGAGGGCAGCTGTCACTACCGGCTGAGCCCTGGTGGGACCCAGGGCACTCATCACTTTGCTGCCTAATCTCCTCTGATGGGGGGGAAATGCAGGGGGAGTTCCCACCTCCACCCCCAGCCCTAGCCCTGGAACCGGTATTAACCTGTACACAGCCACCTTGCTGTCACCGTAAGCTCCCACTAGCAGGTCTAGGGACACAGGGATGTGGGTTAGAACTGGCATTTAGAGAGGTCAGGGGGTCCTCATCTCATCGTCCCAGGTGTTCCTCTCACACAGCCCCTGATGACCTGCCCCCCCCCCCCCATGGCCCAGCCACCTCGATGGCCCAGGGGGACCAAGACCAGGCCCTTGACCAGCTCAGCACTGCAGCCATGCCCCAGGGCCCTGATGGTCCAGGTTGTACAGGGGTACAGCCCACCTGGATATCCATTGTCATCAATGTCCACAGCACCACGCAGGGAGAAGCCGAAGGCAGAATTCGTGGAAAAGGGGCTGTCCAGGACCTGGGAGGGCCGGGAGCTAAGTCCCTCACTCCCGCCAAGATACACCAGCACTTGGCCCTGACCGCTGAGACCCCCATAGGGCGCCCCCACAGCGACATCTGGAGGGAGCAAGGGAAAGGGAAGGGAAATGTGTCACTCAGTCTCCCCAGGGCTCTTGGCAAGCTTGCCTGAGCTCCTCTGGGCAGACTTCAGGGGACAGGAGCAGGCAGGGGTTGCAGCCATGTGGCCTCTGGAGGTGGAGGTGGAAGAGAGATCCAGGAAGTAGATTTTTTTTCTTTTTGGGTCACACCCGGCGATGTACAGGGGTTACTCCTGGCTCTGCACTCAGAAATTACTCCTGGCGGGTGTGGGGACCATATGGGATGCTGGGGATTGAACCCGAGTTGGCTTTGTGCAAGGCAAACCCTACTGGCTGTACTACTGCTCCAGCCCTGGAGTAGAATTTTTGTAAATATTACTAACAGGGGTCGTAGGGCGTTCGCCTTACATGCAGCCAACATGGCCGACCCGAGTTCGATTCCTCTGCCCCTCTCGGAGAGCCCGGCAAGCTACCGAGAGTATTCGATATGCCAGACACAGTAACAACAAAGTCTCCAGAGAGACGTTACTGGGCCCGCTCGAGCAAATCGACGATCAACGGGAGGGCCTTTACCTTTACCTTTACTAACAGGGGTCAGAAAGAGTACTGTGGGCAGGATGTTTGCCTTGCACACAGCCATCATGGGTTTGACGTGCCCCCCTCTCTCCCCCCCCCCCCACTCCAGCCCTCCAGGAGTGGAGAAAACCCTTTAGGGAGGAGAAAGCCCTGAGCACTACCCAATTTGGCACAAACAGTAATACCACAAAAGATTAGTAACAGGGGCTGGAGCAATAGCACAGCAGGTAGGGAGTTTGCCTTGCATGTTGCTGACCCCGGTTCGATTCCCAGCATTCCATAGGGTACCCCGAGCACCGCCAGCAGTAATTCCTGAGTGCATGAGCCAGGAGTAACCCCTGTGCCATGCCAGGTGTGACCCAAAAGAGAAAAAAAAATTAGTAACAGCCCTCAGTATCTATAGAGGAAACACACAGACGCCATTTCATTCAGTTGCGAAGATGAAGCATTATTATTCCCAGTCTATTATTTTTTTTGACGGGGGGTGGGTGGGTGGAGCGCCTGGCTATCTGTCTGGCTCCACTTACTGCCATTTGCGAGCAGAATGTGGAGTCCTGGAAGGCTGGGATCTTACAGCAAGGCCTGTCCAACCTGGCCCCGCTTCCCTCCACTACCAGGGAACCTGTCCTTGCTAAAAGCTTCTCTTTCCTCTTTGATTTTTGGGCCATGTCCGGTGGTCTCAGGGCTTACTCCTGACTCTGCACTCAGGGATCACTCCTGGCAGGGCTCAGAGACTATATGAGGTACCAGGGAATAAACCTTGCTATACTGTCTGCTACACTACACCTGCTGTACTCTCTCCCCTACAGCACTTTTTTCTCTCAAAAATTCTTACTGGATAGCTATTAAGCCCTGAGTACTGCCATATAGTAAACCAAAAAAGTATTGGGAGGGGGCGTTGGGAGATAATCCTTGTATAGGGTTGGCCCCCATTTGATCCTTCAAGTATCACTGGGGTCACTCCTGAGCACACAGGGTGTGGCCCACAAAAACAAACCAAAAGACAATTTTTCTGGAGGGCCTGGGCAGATGACTCAAAGGGGCAAGCGCATGCTTTGCATGCACAAGGCCTGGGTCCTATTACTGGCACTGTGTGGTCCTCCAAACAACACTGGGTATGCCCTCCAAAACTCCTTTATTGGCCACCCCTCAAAAACTTCATTGATTTCGGGGCTGGAGAGACAGTACAGTGGGTAGGGCACTTGTTTATCATGCGGCTGACTTGGGTTTGATCCCCAGCATCCCATATGGTTCCCTGAGCACCACCAGAAGTGATTCCTGAGTACAGAGCTAGGCATTAGCCCTGAGCATAGTTGAGTCTGATCCCCAAAGAAAACAAAAACTTTATTAACTTTCCTGATAGAGTCTCACAAACAAACATATTTCTAAAAAGACTGCTGTGACCACCAACTCTCAGACCCAGAGTTTGGACCTCTGTCTCCTGATCTATGGCTCCCTCGTCCCTGCACTCTCTTCTTGACCATTGGCCATGGTGTGGTTGACCCTCAGTCCTCTGGCCTCATGGCGAGTCCATGGGCCATCATGGAGTCCTGCCTCGAACCTCTAGGCTTAATCTCCTCTTCCAGGATGCTCCCAGCCCCCCAAAAGACCCCCACAGAGGGAAGCAACCCAACTGCTGAGCTATTAAACCAACCCCTCGCTCCATCTCTTTCACTCCATCTACTTTCGCCTCAATAACCCTTTCCAGGCTCCCAGCCCTCGCCAACTCCTCCAGCTCACCCCCAGCCCCAAGCTCATTTTCCTCCAAGCTGAGCCTCATTCACAAGTTCCCAAATGAACATGATCTTCTCCTGACACCTCCCCCTCTGGGGAGTGGTCCAGAGGCCTGCCAACACAGTCATGCCCCGTTGCTCCTCTAGGCTCACACAGTCACAGCCTTCTGGCTTCTGTCGCACCTAGTGGGTTCATGTCACAGTCACCTCTGGCCTCCTCGCTGGAGCCCGGGGTCACTTCTCCAGCCCCAGGGACTGGCCTTGTCTCATCCCTTATTGGGTCCCTTGGATACACTGGCCTCTCTTCATTCCACTCGACTCAGCTTGGCTGAGTCCTGGGTCCCTTCTGTGTGGACACTCCTGTCTACTTTCCCTCTGGGAGACCCCTCTCTGCTCCTGCTCCCCAAGGCTGTCCCGGGCCTCTTTTTCCTTCCAGGGGCCTGAGCGCTTCCAACCCATGTCCCTATCTCTCCTCAGATGCCTGGAGGGTATGAAGGAAGCTCACCCAGCCATCCTCTGGGATTCTCTAATGCCCCAAGCCCTTCAAGCTGGACTGGGGGTGTCCTCCAGCTCAACCGACTCTAGGCCTGCCACCTGGCCCTAATCGATCAGATGCAAAAATTTATCTGTGAAATTATCCTCTTCTCTAATTCCCTCATCTAATACATCCACGCCCACCTTCCGCCTGGACTCCTGCAAATAAGCCCTACGAGATCTCCTTGAACATCTCTCTCCCGTTTTCCACCGTAGGGTTTAAATCGCATTATATTGAAGTCACGGCTGTTAAAAATCCTGGTTCCCAGCGCCACCAAATTTCCCCTCTTTGTTGCTGTTACCCGCCCTGCCGCCAGGGGACGCGCGCCTCCCCCTCACCGTTGTAGCCGTCCCGGTTGAGGTCGCCCAGGGGTGCAATTGCCGAACCAAACCGGCCGTAGAGCTGCGTGCCGGTCAGCAGGAGGCTGGGGGCGCCGAGCGCTTGGGCCCCCCGAGGCTGCAGGAACAAGTACACGCGCCCCACCTCGGCCAGCTTGCGGCCAGCGCGGCTCTCCATGTACAGGGGCGCGCCCACCAGCAGGTCGTCCCTCCTGCAGGCCAGATGCGCGGTGATGCGGGGTGGACGAGGGCCAGATCTCGCCCAGGTGCACTCGCTGGCCCCCCCGCGCCCCCCCCATGGTCACGTGGAGTGAGGGCTAGGAAAGGGGAAGTCCGAGGGTTGCAAGCGGGGACCCAAGCGGGCACAAGCGGGGCACACCCCTGCTCACCCGTCCCCGTTGACATCAGTGACAGCCACCGAGTGCCCGAAGTACGAAGCCATCTGCAGGAAGACCCGGAACCCCCTAATTGCCACCTTTTGCCCCAACAGACTCGGCCCGTCGCCCCGCCGTGGCTGCCCACCCGGCGCGGGCCCACCTGCTCTCCGCGAAGCCGGTGCAGAGACTGGAAGTAGGTGCTGAAAATCTCCACCTGCACACAAGGCCCAGGGGCGGGTCATTCCTGCTCCGGGGGCACCGAGCACCCAGATCCACGCGAGTGGGCGGGAGGCCTGGGGAGGGTGGGGGGCGTCGGACCGATGGCTGGGGTCCTGCGACTCACCGCTCCTCGCGTCCACCTCCAGGTGGGGGCGCCGAAGACATACTCTGGAGAGAGCCGAGGCAGAGGACCATGGCTTGCAGCTGCCCCGTCCCTCGCCACCCCATCCGCGTCCTTGCTTCCGCGGAGACCTCGCGGTGGGACGTGCAGGGGCTCCCCCAGGGCTTGGCTCTCTCCCACCAACCACCCCCGACTTAAAAGATTTCTTGCCTGTCGTGCTGGGATCCCCGTCAAACTCGCCCACGGCCACCGAGTACCCTGAAAGCACGGGACGGATTAGTCTTCTGGGAGGAAGGGGGCCGGATGGGGGTGCAGAGACCGCTCTGTCCACACCCGCATGGGTTACTCCCGGCCCGGCAACGGGGCGGTGGGTGGTGCAGGGCGGGGGGCGGGGGCTGGCGGGCACGCGGCCGGGAGGCGACTGCTTGCCCAGAAGCCTCGCGGGGTGCCAGGGTTACCCCGGTAGCCGTCGAAGTGCTCCGGGTTGCTGGAGTCGTAGGTGAAGCGTTGATTGGGCACGTGCCACAACAGGGTGCCCGGGCGGTAACTCGAGACGACGTTGGCAAGTGGGACACGCGTCAGAAGACCTAGGGCGCGAGGAGCAGTGGGTATGGGGCGAGACGCCCTGGTCTCCCCAGGCCGCCAGGACCAAGGGAGGTGAACAGATGGGCACGTACCTAAGAAAAAATAACCGCCGGGGGCCCCGAGCACCAGCTCTCCAGCCTGCGAGGAAAGGCGGCGAGGTGAGAGGGGCCGGGTGGGAGAGCTCCTCCCCCCGCGGTCGCTTCTGCCCGCTACTCGCCTGAGTGACCACCGCGCTGAAGCCGGCTTCGCAGTAGCGCTTGTCTCCGCCTGCAGGGGACGGAGGCGGCTCAGCCAAAGGCTCGGTCCAGGGCCGCGCTCCAAAGGGCGGGGCCGCGGCCGGTGTGAGCTGGGCATCGAGGAGGGCGGCGGGGTCGCGTGGGGCGGGGCAAGAGAGGCCGTGGGGGCGTGTCTACTTGGGAGGGGTGAGGAAGCATAAAGGGGGCGGAGCGGGAGCCCGTGAGGGCGGGTCCAGAAGCGGCCTGGGGGTGGGGCCTTTGGGGGTGGGGCCAAAGAGACCGTGGGCGGGGCCTTGAAAGCGGTGCAGCTGGGAGGAGAGGGAGTGCGGATGCGTGGGGCGGGGCCTTGTGGGGGCGTGGTCTTTTAGTCTTTCGGGGGCGTGGCCTCTGGAAGGAGAGGCGGGACGGGAGGAGGGTCTTAGGGGCGGGAGCTCCTGGAGGCGGGGCCTAGGTCGCCTGCTAGTGGCACGGCCCCAGAGCGTGGACCTTGGGAGATGCTAGATTGAAAGCCCGATCTTGGGAGGCTGCGAGAAGGGTTGGGTAAGAACCAAACTAAGCGGCTGGGGTCGGCGGGGTAGCAAGGCCTGCAGAGCTCACTGAATTCGTTTTTCACGTAAACCCGGCTCATGGTGTTGGCTCGACAGGGCGAGTACTCGGCGCGGCTGCTGTTCCGGAGCTGCGCCACGAAGCAGCCTCCCACGGGCGTCTTCTCGGCTTCTTCGGCCCTGTCTAGTACGTTCCAGTGCTGCCAGGGAGCGCAGGCCTGGAGCAGGGCCACAGGAGGTGGGGAAGGGGAAAATCGGTACCTCTCCCCCGGGGGTCTCCTTCCGCCCCCGTCCCTGTCCCGCGGCGCCCACCACGACGTTGTCTCTCCAGCTAGCGATCGTCGCCCCCAGTCCTTGCTGGGCCTTGAAGGTTTGGAAAGTTTGGGAGCCGACTTTCCGGGTCTCATCATCTGGGAACATAGAAGGGGTGAGGTGCCCAAGTCGGAAGGCCCAGGCCCCCTCTGGCCTCTGTCCCCTCTGTGCAGGACTCACTTAGGTCGAAGGGTAGCAGCGTGCACTTGTCGCCCTCTGCCCTCCAAGGGCACAGGAACACGCCGCCCATCTCCTCCTGGTTGCGGCCCAACATCCTCGGGGCGCCCACCACTATGGTCACGCTGGGTAGGAAAGCAGAGTGAGCCAGAGGAAGGTTCCGGGGTACCCTGCGTCCTAGCGCCGGTTTGGGTACTTTGGACGCCCTTTTCCTCAAGACCACACAAGGGTTGGATGGTTGAAACTGACTCGGAGAGAGTGGCATATGGGCAAAACAACCAGTGAGGAAAGGGTAAAGACCGGCTCTAGCAAGCTGGGTTGACTTGAATACAAGGGGGCGAGAGTGCAGTATCTTGCTGAAAACACTTAAGTTCTGTAAAGTTCTGCATTTGGTTCCCTCCAACCTCTCAAAGCCTCTAGAAGGACTATCTGAAGACAGGGAATCTGTTACCAGATCCCTCCTAAACAACTAGCTGATGTGAAGAATCTGGGTGGATAGAGGACATCTCTAAAGTCGGATGGGGAGGAGGTGTTATTTCAAATACCCTGGGCTCAAATCTCACTTCTGCCATCAAATGGGACAATACAAATCCCTCAGTGCTGTCAAGAGAAGTTTTTTTTTTAAAGAAGAAATAGAGATACGAATAGTACTAGCTAAATATAACAGATTTTTCAACATAACTTTGTTGTTTAGTCTCACGGTTTCTCAAGCGGGCCCAGTAACGTCTCCATCGTGAGACTTGTTACTGTGTTTGGCACATCGAATATGCTACGGGGAGCTTGCCAGGCTTTTCCCTGAGGGCAAGATACTCTAGGTAGCTTGCCGGGCTTTCTGAGAGGGGCAGAGGAATCGAACTTGGTTCGGCCATGTAGGCTGCTTGCAAGATAAGCACCCTACCGCTGTGCTATCGCTCCAGTCTCACTGTAGGTTTATTAAAAGTAGCACCCTGGGGCTAGAATGATAGTACAGTGAGTAGGGTGTTTGCCCTGCACACGGCCATCTTGAGTTTGATTTCAGGCACCAAATACAGTCCCCTGAACACCACCAGGAGTGATTCCTGAGCACAGAGCCAGGAGTAAGCCCTGAGCATTTCCGGGTGTGGTCCCCCCAAAACAAAAACAAGTAAACAAAAAGAACCAGGACTAGTAACAGCCATCTCATTTTTGTAGCCTGATTAATCTCACCAGAGGCTTCAAGTTTCTTTTCAAATATATGTGCTTCTTTTCAGATATAATTTTGATGCCAATCACAGGTGACACCCAGCGATGCTCAGGGGTTACTCTTATCTCTGCACTCAGGAATTACTCCTGACAGTGCTTGGGGACCGTATGGGATGCTAGAGATGGAACCTGGGTTGACCATGTGCAAGGCAAACGCCCTCCCCGCTGTACTATGGCTCCAACTCCCAAGCTGAATATAGGAATATAGAAAGGCAAGGAGGGGTGGGGAGGGAAATGGTACTTCTTTTATGGGACAAAACTACATTCAGGGAAGTTTGGGGGCACTGTGCAGTGCCAGGGACTGAACCTGGGACTTCTGCATGCAAATCATGAGCTCCAACCCTTAGAGACATCTCTGCAGGCTGCAGGCACAATTTTATTTTTTTGTGGGGAAGAGGTGAAATGGGTCCCCCCACTCCCACCCCAACCTATACTACTTTTTTTTTCTTTTTGGGTCACACCGGCAATGCACAGGGGTTACTCCTGGCTTTGCACTCACTAATTACTCCTTGTGGTGCTCAGGGGACCATATAGGATGCTGGGAATCAAACACGGGTTGGCTGCATGCAAGGCAAACACCCTACCTGCTGTACTATTGCTCCAGCCCCAACTTTTTATACTTTTTTTTTGTTTGTTTAAGGCAAGCACTTTACCAGCAGTACTCTCTCTCTGCCCAAACCCCTGATTTTAGAGTCTGATGATTAATCTAAGGCACACGATCCTATTTCTAGGAAAGGAAGGTGGAGTAGGTTACAGTTCACCTTTGGGGAAAAGGCCTTGATTTTTGTCTCCTGCTTGTTCTTTGATGGCGTCTCAGTGTTCATCTCCCCCACCCCCACCCCCGGTGGGGCCCTCCCCACAGCTCTCCCTAAATTAGCCGTCCCCAAGTCTCCTTAACAAGAGCACCCACTCAAGAGGCCGTAGAGGTCTCTTGGCTTCACCAGTGGAACACGAGGTTCACGAAGCAGTGATGACAGGGAAACCCTTAGCTCTCCCAACACCCAAACTGCCCCCAGGACTCACCTCCCATGGCTGTCCTTGTTGAAGTCCAGTGCAAACCCAAAGTGGCTGCCATTGGGGCCCGTATAGACGGTAAGTCGTCCTGGGTCCAGATTCAAGGCCCAGGCTGGAGGCGTCACTCTGAGTCCCAAAAGCATTTGCAAGCACGCCAGAAGCCAGGGGGTCGGAAGGGGACTCAAAGTCCTGGCCATCTTCCTTCTCCCAGTCTACCGGCAAGAATGGGCCCACTCTTCCTCTTCCTTTTTAGTTTCTACCACAGGAAGTTATGTCTTATCAAACTGAAACCCGCTGGCTGAGCAGTGGGCACAGAAGTGTGTGACAAGGACTGGACTCCGACAGGTTCTAGGGCTGCCAGGAAGGGGATGGGCCCCCACGGGGATGAACATTTGCGACTGAATGTCAGGACTTCCTTTTCCTTGTGTGTGTGTTTTTTTTTTTTTTTTTTTGGCCACCAGATCCTCTGGTTCTGTCTTCTCTCCATTTCCACTGCACCTGGCTAGTTTGGGCCAATGTGACTAGGGACAGCCACGAGCTAATGGGTCTGGATGCTTCTCCTCGCCCAGCTGGAGGAGCGGCTGACACTATGACTTGGTCAGAAGTGGAGGAAGCAGTAAGGAAGCTGCTACTCCATGATAAGGCCCAAGGCTGCAATATCGTTTCGAGAAAGGCACTTTCGTCCATGTCCTCCACAGGGCTTAGGCATCAGTCAACTATATTGGCCAAACTCTCCGTCTCCAGTTATGTCTTTTTTTTTTTTTTTTGATTTTGTGTCACGCTCAGTGGTGCTCAGGACTTACTCCTGGCTCAGTACTCAGGGATCACTACTACTGGGGAGTGGGGCACTGCATGGAGGTCCAGGCATCGAACCTGGGCTGGTTATGTGCAAAGCAAGTGCCCTGACCACTGTACTACTGCTTGTAACTATTTTGTGCACTTGGAGGTTCTACCAGGCGAGTACAGCTGCTCATACAACTGGCTGTGTCTCTTCGACTGAGCTTTGGGAGGGATGCACATGGAACAGTAGAGGAAAGGGGTACACCTAGCCAGCTGGATCAACCAAATCTGGCGATCAATGGGATGACAAGAAGTGCAGCCAGACTGTCCTCCCATTTACAACTCTGCACCCAGGGATCACTCCTGGTAGTGCTCAGGGTACCATATGGGGTTTTGGGACTCCAACCCAGGTCAGTCATATGTAAGGCAAGAGCCTTCCCCGCTGTGCTATCACTCTGCCTCCTCACAACTCTTTGAAGGCTGAAAAGAAGAAACCCACTTAGTGCTACAGACCTGCTTTGTTGTTGTTATTCTACACCTGGAGACATTTGGGAGCTACTCCTGACTGTGCTCCTGGAGATGCCTAGGGGACTATGCTGTGCAGGGGACTGAACCCAGGCCTCCAGCATGCAAAGCTGTGTAGCCCTTCCTCTGGATCACAACTATCATCAGCGTAGATACTAAATCTTCCCTGCCATATTCTGGTTTCGGATAGAGAAGGCTTCATCAGCTCACTAACAATTAGGACCTATTTCCTTTACTAGGCATTGTAGTAATTATTCAACGCACCATGAAGGAATTAAAGGATTAAGAAGGCTGGGAGGAAGCTGATGGCATATGGTTCTATCCCCAGCACCGCATGGCCCCTCAAATTCACTGGCAATCCTTATTTTTTTTGGGGTGGGGGTTGGGTCATACCTGATGGTGCTCAGGGTTTACTCATGGCTCTGGGCTCAGGGATCAATCACTCCTGGCAGGACTTGGGGCACCATATAGAAGAATGCTGGGGATCGACTCTGCATTGGCTCCATTCAATGCAAATGAACTACCCACTCTACCACTGCTCTAGCCCCAACTAAGAGTCCTAACACTGGGTTAGGCTGGACCAGCAGCACTTAGGTGCAACTCCCTTGCACTCCACCTCCAAATAACAAGGAGTTATAGAGACTAGTTCAATATTGTTTCCGGCATAAAGGATTTCACTATAGCTCTTATAATCCAATTGCCCTGAGGTTCATCCAGTATCCTAAAAATCAAAGCTAGAAATCCATTTATGGAGAACTATGTGCCATTCATTCTATTAACAAACAGATGATGTAAAAGGTAGAAACAGAGTAGTCTCTTGGGAGAGAATGGAAAGGTATGCACTTAATAACATTTATACTTTTGATGGAGATAAATTTAGTATTTCCTCCTAGAGCCATGCATATTCTTTCCCCTCTACTTGGGAAAATAGCCTGCACTTTGGATACACAGTTACGAAGCTCAAAAGCAATTGGTTCACAGAATTATTCGATCACTTCAAACAAATGGTGCCTTTTTATTTTTAAATTTGGGTTTTGGGGCCACATACACTGCAAGAAAGCCCTTAACTCATGTATTATCTTCTGGATTCCCAACCAAGATGTTACTGAACCCTTAACTCCACCCTTTACCAAACTGAATGGAGGGGACAACAATCATGACAGACTCCTCTAAGTTTCCACAAATCATTGGTTTATTAGAAAGTTCCTTTCCCTAATTTTACAGCATATATATCTATCATATGTGATAAAGTTAAATACACTCTGTTTTGCTTGTAAGGACAGGTTATTTTGCTTTCCTTTTTTTTTTAATTAAAAAAAAAGGTTTTAAAACCACTATTCTGTAATTAAAATTGAGCCCAGGAGGCAGAGAGGCAGCCAGAGTATGCCTCAATCTAACAAGCTAATGGGAAGCAGCACAAAAAATGTTAATACTGTATTATTTAAATATTTACATGAGCTAAAAGGGAGGGGTGGAAGTCCCTTCACTTTGAACAGCTGGTTTCATTTTTCCAGTGCTAGACATCTACAAAGTGCCTTTTCTGACTCAGCAGGCAGGGGCTGCCGGAGCCTTGTCTGTCTAGCACTTGCTTCTCTCCAGCTCAGAACCTTTGTCTTTTGGGAATCCGGGAAGGCAGAGCAGAGTCTTGGCCCAGGTAAGCAAGGTTTGTTTTTTCTGTCAGATGACCCCCCCAGCCAAGGCTAGCCACAGAATGGGTAGGGCAATGCTGCACTGGGAACTGAGCGTAGGTGAGATCCGTCATGTTCAATTCCCTTTGGGTCAGTATGTGTATTGGAGCTGAGGACCTGGGCTAAAGGTGAGGACGAAGAGGGTCTGAGGTGATACTTCCTCTGGTAGATGTTGTGGGAAAAAAGGGGAAGGAAAAAAAGGTCACTGCTTAAACAAAGGTGGTCAAAAGGCATGGAAACTATGAAGCATAAGAATTCATAGTACTTAAAACTATTCCAACTTCTGTTTTCTTTTGCTTTTTGGGTCACACCGGTGATGCACAGGGGTTACTCCTGGCTCTGCACTCAGGAATTACTCCTGGCAGTGCTCAGGGGACCATATGGGATGCTGGGAATCAAACCCGGGTCACCCGCATGCAAGGTAAACATCCTAACTGCTGTGCTATCATTCCAACTTCGTAAACTATTCCAACTTTTATCTTCAGTTTCTAGCCAACCCAAAAGGCACATTAAAAAAAAAAAGTTGTCAGAGGGGACCAAGTAGTAGTAGGCAAATACACTGCCTAGAGCAAGGCACCGGGAACCCCAGGGACCCTTAACCATTCACATTTCACTACTTCCAGAGAAACAAGCTTTTGGTCTCTTCCTCCTCTGGGGGGCCCACCTGTTTCTCTGTAAGACAGCAAAACACATGCATGAGACTCAGGTAACTGAAGATCCCTCCCTCTGACACCCCAGCTGACTGTTGCCCATTAGTTCCAAATTCCCAGTGCTGGGGGCTCCACTTAATGCAAATATTTAAATATTTTGTCCCAGCCAAAAAAAAATGTTAAACAGGATTTCTCTTTTTAACATTTTTATAGTTCATAACTTCAAAAATACATGAGCTTGATAAAATATACATGCTTAGTCATTTTTTCATCTAGCAGAAAACAAATACTTTTTATTTTTTGTTTTTATTTTATAACCTTTAAAGTTTCTTAATTCAACTAGGGCAAACATATTTACACAAAGCCACCAGAACAAGGATCACTTAAAGAGCTGGATGTAAAAAATATTATTGCAGTATACTACAAATATGCAACTTTTTAATATGAGCTACAAAAAGCAGCATTTACGTTTATAGAGTTCAGTGCAATTTTTTTTTACATTAAAAAAAATCCTATAAATTAAGGAAAACAACAACATGACAGAAGAAAATACTCCCTTCAGACACATGAGCGCCTCCCTGGGGAGCACTCAGGCAAGTTCTACAAGTTCTATTCATGATAGATCTTCCTTTCTGAGATACGAACGCATGTGTCTCCTCTGGGATGTGGGACAAGGGTGCCAGGTGCGTGGCTGTCTGCGGGAAGTGGGCTGACTGGCTGATGGCCTGAGGAGCATCTGAATCCAGGTCCGCCTCCCTTTCCACCTCATCTGGGATAACGTAAGCTTCACCAAGGGGCGGTCAAAGACACTGAGAAGGCAGGACCAGATGGACAACCCGCCAGCCAGGGAGGCGGACGACATGTTCGACTTTACAGAAGGGGAAGGTGGCCAAGCGGAGGCGGGAAGGGGGAGCATCTAACCTCGAGGTCTGGAGGTGTTGCTGCAGAGGGCGGGCAGCATGTGCCGATATGTTCCCAAGCTTAGAAACACAGGAGAGGGAGGGGCAGAGAGAAAGGGGGAAAGGGAAAAAAAAATCCCTGATAATCAACCGAAAGCAAACCTCAAAATCTGAACCGCCGCCACAAGCCAAAACTTAGAGACTCTTTGGCTGTTAGACACTGCCCATCCAGCTTCCACCTGCTGGTATGAATGGCCCCACACCCCTCGAGGGAAGGTATGGGCCATCTCATGGGCCCCACCTGGGCTCCCTGCCCCCAACTCATGTGCCATGGCTCGGGGGGTGCTGCAGGTCCTGACCTGAGAAGATGGGGTGGAGGAGCGGGTGGAGGTGGAGAGCGGTGGCAGCTGCGGCGGCAGGCCGCGGAGCCAGCAGAGTCGGGTAGAGTGCGGCGTGCGGCACGGGGTGGAAGGTGAAGGGCCCCGGGTGGATGGCCGAGGCGGGAATGATGTGGATAGGATGGCTTGCGAGGAAGGTGGCGGGGTGGCCGGGGATGATGGAATGGGTGAGGTGGGACAAGGAGATGGGGGTTAGGTGCGGCTGGGGGATGTGATGCACCTGGGCGAGCGGCTGAGGATGCGGGTGGGGGTGGATGCCGATGGCAGCGGCGGCCGCGGCCGCGTGGTGCTGCAGGATGGCATGCTGCACAGTGGTGATGGAGGTGGCGGAGGCGGTGGCTGGCTGCTGAATGTGAATGGGCTGCAGGGCTGGGGCTGCCGGGGCCAGGGCGGCGGAGGCCGGGAAGGCCTTCACTTGCTTGGCCAGGAGCTGCTGCTGAATGTGCTGCTGCGCGGCCTGCTGGAGTTTGCTGTACTTCTCCATCTCCTCGGGGGTGAAGGTGATGGGCTGGCTCTCCAAGGGCGCCAGGGAGGCATCCTCGGCCCCGTCGGCCGACTCGATACTCGGCTCCCCACTGGGAGGGGCGTAACCAGGGAAGTGTTCGAGGTCTGGGGCGAGGGGCAGCAAGCTGGATTCCACAGGTCCCGGCTGACTACCACTATCCAGGGACTCTAGGGTGTCCCCGTCACTGGGGTCAGGGAGGTAGTTATGGGAGATAACTGGGTCCCCAGAATAGCAGTCAGAGTGCACTGGGGTGCCAAGGGGAGCCACAGGATGGTCAGCAGTAGCTTCTTCAGACTTTGGCTCTTCTGGGGGAGGGTCTGATAAGGGGCCACCTGTTTCCTCTGAGGGGAACTGATGTCCAAATGAGGGCTCGCTGCTCCCCGGGAGCCCTTCCTCCGTCTCTGACTGTTCCTGCTCTTCCGCTCTCTCCAAGCCAGACTCTTCACATTTCTTGGTGTTGGGCTTCCGGGTAGCTGGTAGCTTCCCTATCAGTGGTAGGACAGGCTTACTGCCGAGAGAAGGGGGGAGCTTGGGCCCGAAGTAGCCTTGTGGGGGGTCCTTGAGTTTAAGCCCAGCTTTCCCAGGGGTAGCCAGCACCTCCTCACTCACGCTGGATTTCCTTTCTACCTTCCTGGACTGGATCTTCTCCAGCAGCAGTTTGGCGGTAATGGAGTTCTTGTCTTCAGGGCTGCAATCCCCTTCTAAGGCCCTTCCTGCGCCAATGTTGTTCTGAGAGGGGATGACTGTCCCTTTACCATCGTCTCCTCGGAGATCTTCTTTCTTTCCAGAACCTTCTCCCCGGCCTGATCGGAAATAGTGGGGAGACTGGGAACGGTAAATTTTCGAGCGGATGAAGTCACGCCGACCCGAACGCCTCTCCTCGGGGCTCTCGTGACCCCAGGACCCCTTCCTGGAGCCTGACCTCTGGGAAGGACTCCTGGTGCTGCGGCTGCGGTCCCTGCTGTAGCTCCTGCCTCGCTGCCAGCTGTGCGCGGTGGTGCTGCGACTCCTCCGTTTGCTCCGGCTGCGACTACAGCTGCTGCTGCGGCTTCGGCCCCTGGATCTTGAACGCTCCCTGCTGTGGCTGCGAGACCGGCTCCGGGACTGACTGCAACTGAGGCTGTAGTCATCCTCGGACGACGAGTATTTGTGCCGTTTGGACCGGTGCTTGGAGCTGGCGTAGTCTGAGTCATCCGAGTCATGGGAGCGCTTGGAGTGTCTCCGTGAGCGGTCACTGTAGTCACTGTAGCTGTCATCTGAGTAGCTGTGCTCTCTACTGTAGCAGCTCTGGTCTGAGGACGCGTCGGAGCTGCTGGAGTAGGAGCGCCGGGAGGACCGGTGAGAGGGGTGCCGCCGGGCAGAGCGGGAGCGGCTGCGGGATTGCTCGCTCCCCGAGTCTTCCTCCTCCTCTTCCTCACTGTACTGGGATGGAGACTTCTGGTGCAGTGAAGCATCGTCGCTATCCTCATCCCCACTGCTCGGGCGACTCCGGTGACTAGATCTGCTGCTGCGCTTGGCACTCGCTCTTCGCTGGCAGGATGAAGCTGGAGGCTCACCTTTGTGCTTCCTCCCGCCGTGATCCTGCGAGCTGCCCCCGCCCCCCTCATCCTTCTTGCCGCTGCTCCCTTCGTCAGCTGGCAGGGATCTCCGCTGCGAATCATCCTGGGCCCTTCGCCGTCGTCTTGGGGGTGCGGGGCTACCACTTCCAGGAGGTTCTGGTTTGGGTCCCCGCTCGGAATCGGCCGGGGCTGATGACTTATTCTTCTTCCGTTTTCTTTTTTTGCGTTTCTTAGACTTCTCCCCAGACTCTGCCTTTGAACTTTTCTCCTCTGGGTCAGCCTTGTGTTTCCGTTTGTGTTTGCTGGATTTTTTGTGTTTCTTTTTCTTTTTGTGTCGGTGAGACTTGCCGGACCGTTCTTTCTTGCCAGGAAGGCTTTTCCCGGTGTCTTCTGTCTCGGACCCGTGGCTGCCCCCAGGCTCCTGCTTACTCGGGATGCTACAGGCAGACGCTGAAGCAGGTGCATCCACTTTTCCGCCTGAGGTGTGTTCCGCATTCTCGACACCCTCCTTGCTTTTATTTGGTTCACCAGGGTCAGGGTCAAGGCCTTGGAGATGGTCCTTTGAAGAGCTGCCTACATCCTTTGGCTTTTCTGTCCCTTTTGCTCTGTTATCTTTGTTTCTTGAAAGTTTAAAGTCAAAATACAACGGGTTACAGCTGTATGAAATGGAGGGTTCTGCCTTGGTGAAAATCAATAGTTCCGACGGCCACTGGAGGGCAGTGCTTTCATCTTTGCTCAAAACTGGGAAGAAGGGGCCGGTGGGATGTTTGGGTCCCTCCTGGCTTTCTTTCCCTGCTGCGGTGGCCTGAGGGGCTTCTTTAGAAGGGTCAGAGTCACACACTGGGGTTTCGGGAGCCTTCTGAGTCTGACTCTCCAAACTGCGCTCATGGACGTGCTCTGCCGACTCTGGCTCATCTTTGCTTCCTGGCTCAGAAGGCTCCGCCACACCGACTTCTGCCTGCTGCTCGGGGGCTTCACTAATTGCCTTTTCCGCTCCTTGGCTTGGGGCCACCTTGCCACAGCCTTTAGGTTTGGGAGAACTGCTTTTCTTGCTCTCGGGGGCACTCTTTGGATGAGTACTATTATCACCTTCCATTTGTTCACTAGCTCTCATGAAAAGCAGAAAGGGGAAGTTAGGTTTCACCTTGCAGTGAGCTGGCGGGATATAGTGGTAATACTCCGGCTCTGTAGCTCCAGCTCCTTCTTCTCGCTTCATTTTTTTTAACTTAGATAATGTTGAAGCAAGGGACCCTCCATCCTGAGGATCTTCGTCCTCTTTCTTTCCATCAAGATTACTGTTTCCATCAGAATCTCCTACCTTCTGCACTCCTTGATCAGAACCTTTCTCATCAGCTTTTGTTCCCTCTTCAGACGTTCCTTCCTCTGCATGGTCTTTGAAAACCGATGCGATTGATTCAAGTTTGACGGGAGCCTTCTTGGCAAAGGAAAATGATACTCCCAACTTTTGCAGTGGTGTTCCTTGATTATTCTTAATGCCAAAGCTGATACCTTGGGAGGCTAAGCCAGGAGCCTGTGCCAGTCCTGGGGTATTAGTGACTTGTACTGCTGTGAAAGGGCCTCCTCTATCTGTGGAGAATTCAGATCCCAGACCACAAGTGGCCGCGGAACCTGTACCACTGTTTGAAGCTGATTCATCTTTATCATCTTCTCCACCTTCTTCATCTACGGCCACTGTTGTTGGTCTGAACATGGGCCCACTTCCTGGTGCACTAGATATTGGTTTTAAAAAAAAAAGAACACAGATTTATGGGTATATTTTATGATCATATAAAATACTGAATTCCTCAGTGGCAGTTAGAAAAAGTCTTATACTGTTAGTAATATGCTAAGCTAAATTCCGAGGGCTAGCCAGTTACTGCTTTTCTTCCTATGATTTTTAAAATATGAAAGTGTGGAGTTCATGCACAATTCAATCAGCCTAATCAGTGATTGAATAAATAGCAGTACTCCTACACTAAATAAAGAAAGTTTATGCATTGAACTCTGAATGCTAAATTAAAAAACAAACAAACAAATAAATAAATAAATAAAATATGGAAGTGCAGGGATGGAGTAGACAGGGCAGCAGGTAGGGCCCTTGTCTTGCATATGGTTGAACTGGGTTCATCTCAGGCACCACATACAATTCTCTGAGCTCTTCCAAAAGTGATCCCTGCGCACAGAGCCAAGAGTAACCCTTGAGCACCCTCAGATTTGGCCGGCCCATGCCCATTTCCGCCCTCTCAAAAACCTTAAACAAACAAAATTAAAAAAAAATTTTCTTAAAGTGAAGGGCTAGAGGGTGCAGCAGGTAAGGTACTTACTACGCCCATGGTCATCTTAGGTTCAATCCCCACCACCCTATATGGTCCCTTGTGCAGAACCAAAAATAAGTCTTGAGCACTGCAGGATGTGACCCAAAACCAAACTAAAACCAAACCGCAAAAATAAAGTACAGGGGCCAGAGTGATAGCACAGTGGGTAGACATTTGTCTTAAAGGCAGCTGACCTGGGTTTGATCCCCAGCATTGCATATAGTCTCCCGAGCAATACCAGGAATAATTCCTGAATGCAGAGCCAAAAGTATTCCATGAATATATATTGCAAGGTTTGCCCCCAAACAAGAAAAAAACAAAAAGACTTATTTTGCAATTCAAATAATTATTACTATCTGGTACAGTCTATCAGTTTTATATCCATTCTCATTTCTTACCCCCCTCTTTATATTGGAGGGGGGCGTTTCACACCTGGCAGTCCTCAGGATTTATTCTTAGCAGCACTCAGTGGACCATATGGGATGCCAGGGATTTAACCTGGGTTGGCAGAATGCAAGGCAAACACCCTCCCCACTGTACTATTGCTCCTGCCCTCTTATCCTATTTCTTAGAACACATAAGCAATGCTTGGAGGATCATGAAAGTGCCAGAGATGAAACCCAAGTCTCCTACATGCAAAAACATGTGCTCACCAGTCCACTAAATTCTCTCTCTAGTCCTTTATTCCTTACTCTTTTTTGTTGTTTGGGCAACATCCACTGGTGCTCAGGACTTACATTCACTGGTGCTCAGTGAGACTCAGGGGACAATGGAGTGCTGGGGATCAAACCTGAGTTGGCTGTGTGCAAAAGCAAGAGCCCTACCTGGCTCTGTCCTCTGTACTTTACTGAGTTTTTAAATTTTGTTCGGTTCTGGGTCGTATCTTGCGGTGCTCAGGGCTTTACTCCTCAACCTTTTTTTGACCCACACCTAGCAGTACTGAGGGCTAATTGCCAGTGCTGGGGATCAAACCCAGAACTCATACATGCACATTCTACTGCTGACCTACATCCTGGGACCTGTTTTCTCCTTTTCTTTTTCCAAAACACATGAAAATTAAAAAGGAGACACAGGAGCTGGAGCTGTGGCTGGTCCCTGGCAGTACAATAAATAGCAGATAAACAGGTATGGATCCATAGACAAAATAAACTTACTATGTCCAGGAACTTGGAAACTCTGGTCCCAACTCAATTACAATCTTTTCAAAGCCATCATCAGTTTTCCTTCTTCTGTGTCAAGTTCCTTTAGTTCGTGTAAAAACAATCATGAGAGCCCATATTCTTGTGCCTGAGCTACCTGAGGTGTTAACCTTATGACCTCTGAGGTGTTAACCTCATGATTTCTGAAGTGCTCAAAGATTAGGTCCCCAAAGTCTAATGGCTTTATAAAGCAGCCCAAGATATAGCAAACTCCAGCAGAGTTAAATACCAGCTTCCAAATCAGCAAGAACTATGAATGAGTATTAAAAAGAACATTCCAGGACTGTGAGATGGCTCCACGGGCTGAAGTGCATGAGCTGCATGCAGGAGGCCCAGATTTCATCCTCAGCACTGCCATGGTCTCCTACCAATAAGCACCAACCTAGTATAGCCAAAAAAACTATACCAACCAACCAAAACACTCCAAGTCGGGGTCATAACAAAGAAACAGAATCCCCCAGGTTTTAGATTGTTTAGAACTGGAGCGTACTTAAAAGGTAGTCAAAAAAAACTGAATATGGGGTCTAGGCGACAGTACAGAAGGCAGCTGAGTACACCAATGTGATCCCCAGCACTGTGTTTAGTCACTGGGAATGATCTCTGAGCACAGAGCCAGGATCAAGTCCTGAGCACTGCTGGCTGTGGCCCTCAAATCAAAAACCAAAAGCCCCTCTCCCCTCACAAAAATACACTTAAATCCAGGGGCTGGAAATTATAGCTTAATGTAAAAGCTCATGCCTTGCATGCATAAAACCTAAGTTCTACTTGGAACTGCCAAATGAAACCAAACAAAGTCACAAGAGCCCGTGATCTAGTAGATTCCAGCTATAAAACACTCTATGTGCTTTCCTACGTAAGAATGCTGAAAGAAAGGGAGTAATAGTTGAGTAGTTTATTGGGTATCTTCTGTCTCCTAGTTACATTTTCCTGGTTTGTTTTTGGACCAAACCAGGGTATGCTCAGGACTTACTAGTGGCTCTGTGCTCAGGGATCACTTTTGGAGGGGCTCAAGGAACCACATGGATTGCCCAGGAATTGAATCTGGGGTTTAATCATTTGTAAGGCAAGTGCTCCACCTGCTGTTACCATCTCTCCAGCCCAGCTTTTTCGATGTAATAACTTATTTACAGTAAGAGGTAAGATTGTTGGGGCTCAGGAGAGAGTTCAAAGAATACTTTGCTTTGTGTGCAGGAACTCTGGGTACCTCTCCAGAAGGAGCTCCTGAACACACTTCGATATGGTCCAAAACAAAACAAAAGAAAAATAACTGATATAATCTTCAACTTAAAGATAAGGACACTGAGACAGTGTTTAGCTAAGGTCACAGAGAGAGTAGGATCTACCCTCCTTATGTGTATATAGTTATCAGTATATTATAATCCAAGTATAGATATACTTTGTTTGAAAAGGATCTATTACAAATATAAGGACTATATGTCTAGGATCTTGAACTATAATCTTAAAAATATTTATAACGTTAAGGATTATAATTATCTACAGAACCCTGAGAGAAAGGATCTTTACCATTCAGCTTGTTTTCTTTGCTCTGCCAACTCATGGAGTCGTCGAAGGGCTTTTTCCTGTTTCTTCTCATCTTTACGGGATCTTGATGAAACATTTCGAGCAAACTCTCTCTGCTTGAGATCTTTCAATCTCTGAGGCAAAAGAAAAAGAAACAAGGGTGGGCGATTTAGAGTAACTTAGGGATCCTAAAGGCAAGGCCTCTGGAGTATTTGCCCTTAATTAATGGTTATAGTGCTAGTGTAGAATATATTGTTATACTCTTTTGATTAACTGAAAACACAATGGCTGATTATTTAGGATAAAACACTTGGAGTATTTGCATACTTATTTAGGACAGCATACCATTTGCTTTGTTGGGCAAAATAAAATGACTTCGAAAGCAGTAAGTAAATTTTAGAACAGTAGGAGAAAAAAAAAGAACTATTTAACCATCTGCTCTTCCTGGATGCAAAACTAGACAAACAGAAGATGAGATAAATTCTAATAACACAAGTCAGAGAGAACAGAAAAGGGTTAAGCTAGTACAAAAATTACCCAGGTGTAAGACTTTAAAAAGCAATGTACAGCTTACATGGGAAAGTTATTGAATCAGATCTAACAAACAGCCCCTTTCTTTCACAATAAAAAGGCGTGGCTTTCCCTGTAACTATCAACCACCTTTCAGTGCTGGCCTGTTCAGAGCTCACCAGTCTGACCCTCCCGCCTGGCCAGTCCGCTGGCATTAAAGAGCACTTAGGTACAGCATTTCGCTTTTTCATGGCCCTCAGAGGGACAGCCAGGGAGTGAGGAGGGAGAATAGAGACAAGTTAGAGAATTCATGACTGAAAATCCTGATAAAAGAAAGGGTGCTTTATTCTTAGAAGTATAATTTTTCCTTAGAACAAAACAGTGACCAAAAAAGAACAGTGCGCTGACACACTGAGGACGGAGTTCAGACATATCTATCGGCAATGAAGACAAAACTGAAATTTCATAGTCAACACACTTGATAAGAAATAAACAAAAGAAATACAATGAAACACATTAGCCTGTGGTTTTACAACAGCACCAGGAAAAGGAATTTGACCCAATATAAAGTGGACATTGCTTTGTGAAAGGCATGATGTTCACAGACAGAGGAATTTTCTTATCTAATATTTATGAAATGTGCTTGAATATTTTTGAATTGGGAGGGGAAAAGGGTGGAAAGACACACACACAAAAAAAGATAAACAGCTAAAGACACTAGAAGAAAAACTCACTCTTGTGATCTGGGCTCCCAATTTAGAAGGATTTGCTTTCAAAACATCAGCTGAAAATGTCACACCACAAAGAAAAAAAAAGTAAAAAATAAAACAAGATTGGAAGAGAAAAAAAAATAAAGCAAGCATTACTACACAAGCTCTCTTTAGTGAATCTGTACTCTATTATACTGAGCAGTCAGGGACCGAGCCGTCAACTCTAGGAGGGCGGGGTAAGGGCAGCACCTGTACAACACGTACATGTGTACATACACACAGACCGACAGAGCAGTAAGGATCCTAGAGAAATGGAATTACCCATTTCCTCAGGAAAAAGGATTCCAGAGCTTTAGGAAAGACTGTCTCAAGTCAATTAGCCTTTCATTTACCTCTATTTTTGAAAAGTTCAACTAACCAACAGCTGACAATTTTCCCCCGATGTAGGTAGTTGAATACCCAAATGAAGATTTTTATATATACTACACACACACACACACACACACACACACACACACACACACACACGAAAGTCCAAGGTGATAGTTCAGTGGGCTGAACATGTGCTCTGCATGCAGGAGGCCTGGGTTTGATCTCTGGCATCGTAAGATCCCCAAGGAGTTTGAAAGGGGCCCTGAACAATAATTGGTGTGACTCCCCAACCAACCACTTAAGACAGAAGATGATAGGGCCGGACCAATGTACAGTGGGGAGGGCGTTTGTCTTGCATGTGGCTGACCCAAGTTCAGTCCCCGGCACCCCATATGGTCCCTTGAGTGCTGCCATGAGTTGATTCCTGAGTATAGAGCCAGGAGTAAAACCCCTGAGCATTGCCAAATGTGGCCCCAAAACAAACAAAACAAAACAAAAACTATTTTAAGAAAAACCATACCCAGCGGTGGCAGTGCCCAGGCCTTGTTCCTCACCCTGCACTCAAGGATCACTCTTGGTGGGGCTTGGGGAATCACATGCGGTGCCAGGGATTGAACCCAGGTTGATCGAGCGCACAAGGAAAGCACAGTGTCCACAGTACTATCTGTTCAGTGCTATTTATCACTTTCAGTCAATCCATAGCCCTACAAATAAGTTTCTCCTTGTCCAGTCATTTCATCTCCTCTGACAACCCTTTAACTACAAGAACATTGTGCACAACAGTGATTTTACTAAAATTGTTAGGTAAAGTAAAAGATTAGGCTTTTCCAATTCAGAAGCCATTTGGTGCATGGTTAAGGCTGAAGGAAAAGAATTTTGTCTGCCTCACCCTAAACAGATCAGATTTCAAATTCCTATCTTAATATAACTGGAGGAAAGGAAGAAAAAAAATGTGATGTTAGTAACAGTGCATCCTAATTATAATCTCTTCTATGCACCACAGAGGGCAAAGCATTCCTGCTACCACAGAGGGCAAACATTCCTACATCACCTTTAAAAACTTAGTCAAGTCTTGGATCTCAAAAGTAGAACTGGAAATCCCCAAATTCTAACCCAAACCTTAAGAGACAGGGACTGGCACTTTTTTTAAAATCTAAAACGTGTATTTGAGGTCTCTAATATGAAGAGTGGATAATAATAGTAGAGTGGGTAACATACTGGCCTTGCATGCCAACGACCTGGGTTTAATCACTTACTGGAACCAGGAGTAAGCCCTGTCGACCCTTGGGTGTGCCCCAACAACAAAACACCATAAAAATGGACTCCCAATTCCATGTCCATGTCTCACCTTCTTAAGAGCTAAAGGTAAAACTAAATTTCCCCTCCAAAAAAAAAAAAATAAAGCAGCTTACCCTTCAAAAGAAGTAACTTTTCTTTTTTATTTTTTTTTAAAAAGGCGGTTTTGGGTGACGTTGAACAGTGCAGAGGCTCTGGCTGTGCTCAGGAGTGACCCCTGGTGGTGCTCAGGAGACAAGGCAAGTGCCTTAACCCCTATACTATCTCTTTGACCCCATGAACTCTCCTTTTTGAATTTTCTAGTTCACTTTGTCATAGTTCTTTTCTAGTAATCATATTGCACTACCACTAAATCATTCCTGTGTTTCAGAAAGGGATTATGTGCTAAGCTCCAGAGTTAGATGGCTAAGTCAAGTTTTGCACTCCAATTCCCTCAATATATTTATGAAACTATGTCAAAATAAATGGAAAACCACTCTTATTGAATAGTGACTTTCCTCCCCCTTATTTGGGGTGGAACTTTGGCTTCTTTTTTACTGAATCACTGTGTGATACACAGTCATGAAGCTGTGTATCTTGATGGGCTGTGGCTTATTTCTATAAGCAAACCTTTAAGTGCACAGAGCCATATTTAAATGCATAGAGTTGCCTGAAACATCATTGGTAAAAAAATCTGGCTTAGATAATGGATCTTCTCACATACACATTAATAAACATAAACCATCTGTAAGAAAGATCAATATAAAATGTTTGTGAATTTTTATGAGAGAAATATTTATGCTTTGCTTAATATTTTCCTAGTTAATATTCTTACATACTAAGGAAAAACTGCTCTTCTTTCTTGATTTGGATTTTTAGGACATACCTGGCCGTGTTCTGTAGCGATAGCACAGCGGTAGGTTGTTTGCCTTGCACACAGCCAACATGGTCGACCCGAGTTCGATTCCTCCGCCCCTCTCGGAGAGCCTGGCAAGCTACCGAGAGTATCTCGCCCGCACGGCAGAGCCTGGCAAGCTCCCCGTGACGTATTTGATATGCCAAACATAGTAACAACAAAGTCTCCAATGGAGATGTTACTGGGCCCGCTTGAGCAAATCGATGAACAACGGGAGGACAGTGACAGTGACCTGGCCGTGTTCAGGAGTTATTCTTGGCTCTGTGCTCAGCATTCATTCCTGGCAGTGCCTGGAGGACCATAGTAACTGGGGATCAAAATGGGATTTGCTGCATGCAAGGCAAGTGCCTTAACCCTGTACTGGATCTCTGATCCAGAAGTCTCATTTATTTTCAAAAAATCAACAAGTCTAGTTTTTCCTTGTTTTCCTTTTGCAGTACACTCAGTGTGCTTAGGGCTTATTTATTCCTGGCTTTGTGCTCAGGGGACCATATGTGTGCCAGAGATTGAACTTGGGTCAGCTGTGGGCAAGGAAAGCACCTAATCCACGATACTATTTCTCTGCCTCCAAGCCCCTTGCTTGTGGTCAAAATTGATGCAAACAGAAAGAAGTTTTTGACCAGACCATCAATTTCATGTCCAAAAGTTAATTTTTGGGGGAACCTCACTGACCAATACTCAGGTGCTACTGTGAGTTGCTTGGGTGATGTTCCTGGTGGTGCTTGGGAAACCATGTGATGCTGGGATCAAACCAGTATCAAATTGGTCCTGTCACATGCAAACCATGAGCTTAAGCTCATACCTTGGTGCAATCTGTCTCTTTGGCTCAAAAAAAAAAAAAACGGGGTGGGGGAGGGGAGGGCTCACACATAGCTATGCTAAGGCTTAGTCCTGGCTGTGTGCTCAAGGAATCATAAATCATGTGGTCCTGAGAACTGAACCCAGGTCATCTGCTTGCAAGGCAAGCTCCTACCCCACTGTCCTGTTTCTGCCCCCTCTGAAAAGTAATTTTAACAAAGGCGTTGGGGCTGCAGAGTGCATGCTTCCAGGCAAGAGGCCCAGAGTTCAGTCCTGGTACCACATGACATGGCCCTGCCCCAGCACCGAAGACTTGAACAGCACAGTGTCACTGAGCTACCATGGAACTGTCAGGCCCACAGCAAAGACCCGGCACCGCTGGGAGTAGGCACGCAGCAGATCCAGGTTTGGTCATAGGCACCACATATGGCCCTGTGAGTCCACCAAGAGTGATCCTGGTGTGCTTCTGCCTATGCCACCTCCTCCCCACTCCCACCGACCCCCCACACAAGGAGGTTAAGACTTTCAGTCAGGTTTTTTTTTTTAAAAAAAG